GTGGAAGGCACACAAGTTTAGCATTCAAACCTTTGGAAAGAGTCCTGATAAAATTATCCTTCCTTATGGTAAGGAGGAGGTGGAACATCTACAGATCTTCCATGATGGGTGGACCCTGTTTATTACATCTACAGGCGCACAGTTTGATAACCAATATCCCAACAGCCCCTTGATGTCTTTTTTCAAACAACACCCTGTGATCTTTCCCAAGATTTTAAAGGAGAACCCTCTAGTTGGAGCTCGCTCAGTCTTTACAGACGGCTCCTCCAAGGGTTTCGAGGTGGTGGTTTCTTCTCAGGTACAGAAGAGGGTACCCATAGGGCAGATGTCAGCACAAGCCGCCGAGTTGTTTGCATGCTTGATGGCTTTCCAAATGTTTGAGGGAGAGCCCTTTAATTTATATACGGATAGTGTTTATGTTGCCAACATTGTTAGACCTTTAGAAACTTCTCCATATGTTCTTCCAACCTCCCAGGTTCGTTCCTTATTAGTTCAGCTCCAACATCTTATTTGGCAGCGCATCCACCCTGCTTATGTGGGATTTATTCGTGCACATACTAACCTTCCAGGACCCCTTACCCAGGGCAATCAAATTGCTGACTCCTTGACCCGCCCTAGGGTCTTATTTACTCAGGAGCAGCTGGCCCACCAGCTCCATGAGAGGTATCATCTAAATGCCCGCTCCATTAAATTTCACACTGGGTGCCCCTTATCCATAGCTACACAGATTACCTCTCAGTGCCCTGATTGTGCCCCTTATCATAATTCTCCCAATGAAGGGGTAAATCCCCGGGGCCTCAGGGCCAACCATCTCTGGCAAATGGATGTCACTCACCTGCCACAGGCAGGGAAATTAAAATACATGCATGTCTCGGTGGATACGTATTCTAAACTGATTTTTGCCTCTCTCCACTCAGGAGAGAAGATTAAAGATGTTATTTCTCATTGCCTGCAGGCCTTTGCCTACATGGGTGTTCCAGATGCCCTAAAAACGGACAATGGCCCTGCCTATGCCAGCAATCGCTTTGCTGCCTTTTGCAGGGAACATCACATTGTCCATTCTTTTGGTATTCCTCACAACCCCACGGGACAGGCTATTGTGGAGCGCACCCATGCCACTCTCAAACAGTATTTTAAGAAAATAAAAAAGGGGGAGTATGTTACCTCCCCCAATATTCAGTTATCCACCATACTTTACATTTTAAATTTTTTGACCATAGACCATAATAATTTGTCTGCTATGGAGAGACATTGGAACAAACCCTCCCAGTCCTTGGGATGGGTCAGATGGAAGGATTTGATTACAGGAAAATGGCAGCCACCCACTCCCCTACTAGCTAGGGTCCGAGGGGCTGTTTGTGTTTTCCCTCCAGGAAGTGAGAAGCCCATTTGGGTCCCCGAACGGTGCATCAGGCATGTCGACCCCAATACTACTCCGGATACTAGTAATGCTCACCATGATAAAGATGATCCAACCATTGCTGAACACTCAGGTAAGGGAAATATGGGCGTTGGTGAGGATTCCCCCCCATGTTAATGCCAGTTAGTCATTCCAGCTCCCTGTTCATCAATTTTTATAACACCAATAATACATTGGAAGCGGCTGCTGCCAATGAGATTAAAAAGTCAGAAACTAGACATTCTGAGTTTCCCCCTCCTAAGCCTGATACCAGGGTCAGGAAGTAGGGGAATCCAAGAGATTCCCAGCGGCATACGCTTTTAATCCCAACACACCTTTATGCAAGTCCCAGGACAGCCTCCAAACAATACAGAGAAACCCTGACTCAAAAAAAAAAATTGGTACTGGTATTAATTAAAGAAAAAGACAAAGACAAAGGTATATGGAATGGAAAATTTTGTTTACATTTAAGTTCTATTTTGTGAGTCATCTCTAAAAACTTTTGGCCAAAAGCCTGGCCTCTCTACCTTGCATCTACAGAGTTACAAGGAGTAGGTACGGCTGTACCCCATGACTGTAGCTCAAATGGAGGAATGATAAAAACATATAGGACTTTTTAACCTTTTTAGTTCAAGGATTGGCTGGAGTTGTTCTTTTACATAGATTTCAATTAAGGAAGCTTCATTGCAACAGACTAATCATGACCTAGGGAAAAAGGATGACTGAAAGATGCATGTATGTTCTGAATGTATGGTGTGGCCACACCGGTATGTATGAAATGTGATTGCGAATGTGTGAGTGTGAACTGCTTATATGATTAAAAGGATACTTAAATCCCTTCAAAAATAGTTAAGAAGCTACCTAGATTGCGTTAAATATAGCCAAAAGGAACATCCAGCCAGTCTGTTAATGTTTTAACAGAAAAATTTAAGATACAAATGAGGCCTTGTCAGCTAGTGAGAGTTCTACAGGTTAGATTGGGAAAGACTGCTCACAGACTTCAAATAATTTTCAAAAGTTATTTAGTAAGCCCAATTTACCTAGATAGTTAACCAAGGAGGGTAGACAAATCCTTCTACTGTTATGGTCCAGCTTCAACAGTTCAAAAAGAAAACTTTTTTAGAAAATAAAAAAGGGGAATAATGCCCCCAGTCCCCACATGACTCATCAAATAATACACTCCTCATTTAAAAATTTTATAATGTGAATGCCAGTGAGCTTCAGACAGATTCTGGCATGATGGAACTTGAGCAACCATTGCTCAGGTCAAATGGAGACATCCATACACTAGACAGTGGAGAAGACCCTAATTTGGGGTCGAGGGCATGTTTGTGTTTTCTTGCAGGAAAAGAATAAAGCTTCGGCAGCTGTCAGACCATTTAGTGAGATGCATGGAGCAGAGAAAAACTGGACCTGAGACCATGGGAGCCTACCTAAGCCAGTTTGAGTGAGATCTCCTAAATCAGTGTTCCTGACCCTTGATGTCATCGAATCTAGAGCCCAAGAAAGAAAGAAAACAGTCGGTTCGAGATTTCCAGTTTCTCAACAGACCTGCTGCATCAACCTTCCGGACCCATGAGTTTTCATCGTGAAGCCAACAGAGAAAAAAGGACCCATTTAAAGCATTTGGACATTGGTATGGACTATGATGAATGGCAAAAGCCTCTTTTCAGTATTTGAACAGGACATGGTCACTTGAAATATCAGACTTGATGGTTCCTATTTCTGGAATCACGACTAGGCCAGTGTATTTTTCTGGAGAAATGCAACTTGTCCTAATGCGACAACTATTGTTCATATTTTTCATAATGCTACATGTGTAACATCAATGATTGTACCCAATGTATCTGTGCAAGTGCACTTTCTAAATGCTTTCCTGAGCAGATCTTAAAACGATTGGAAACTTTATCAAATTGTAAATGTAAATCACATGCGGGTTACCCTTGTAACAGACGAAGGCTGGTAGAATGTTATGGCCCAGATCTGGTGATGGGTATGGTAATGGAGAGGCGCTATGTCAATGGGGGTCCTGGAAATGGTGGCAGTGGCGGTAGGCATTCTGGCTTTATGCCGAGCTCAAACGTGCCTTGTTCCAGAGACAAGAGATCCGTAACCAAGTATTGCTTAGCTTAGCCCATGGCAATCCCGATAGCCATGAAGGTTGGTTACAGATGATTTAAGGTTGGGGTATCTCCGATGACGGGCAACCTGTGGGGAAGACCCCTCCCACCTAAAACAGGGGTTCAAGGTCCCCCAAAGACGGGAAAGGGAGGGTGACCCTACTTGACCTAAGCCAGGAGTGCCTCATTTGAAAATAAAAAGGGGTGAATTGTGGGAACACCAGACCTTGAGCAGAGACCCACTTCCCCTTCTGCCTGGGAGTAGGCAGCTGTAAGACAATGTTTAGTAAAAACATGTTTACTAAAAACGATACAATAAGTTCCTGGCCACTTCCCCTTCTGCCTGGGAGTAGGCAGCTGTAAGACAATGTTTAGTAAAAACATGTTTACTAAAAATGATACAATAAGTTCCTGGGAAAGGCCTTCCCACAGAAACCGCCCTGACCTCGACCTTGTCCAAAGACTAACCGCACCTTCAAAAACCCACACACATCCACCTCTGGTGTCAGAGCAGAACCAGCCAGGGGAGAGGAGAGAGCAGAAGCTTCTCTGGTGGGAGCTTTTCTTAGGAAGTTTTTCTTGAACCTTTTTGGAGCCTGTTTAAAGTTCTCTTTATATCGTTGAACGAGTCTCTGTGTTGTCAATCCCCGACACCCTCCGCACGTTCTCGGACACAGGCCACGCAGCAGACGTGACACGCCACCAACGCCCGGCTAGAATTGCTCTTTTAAAAAGTTATGTATCTCGTGTGTGTGTGTCTGTGTGTGTGTGTGTGAGAGAGAGAGAGAGAGAGAGAGAGAGAGAGAGAGAGAGAGAGAGGGAGAAACTTGTAGGAGTCAGTTCTCTCAAGTGGGTCCTAGGGATCAACCTCAGGCTGTCAGGCTTGGTTGGCGGCAGCACCTTCACCGCTGACCCATCTCACCAGCCACTGAATTATTCTTGACTTCCATGTATTCGTGGTTTGGTACACACACATTTAATTGTCTACCCACACCACAAGCAATGGGATAAACTCCTCTTTACATACACTTTGTGTGGTTCCCACAGCACTGAGAGACACAAACACTTTCAAAATGGATGTTATTTCCAAAAACAACCCAGTACCAGGCAGCACAGTTACAATGTCACACGCTAGCACAAGAAAAATGCAGATGTCACAAAGAAGGTCTCCTGGAGCCATTCAAAAAGTCCCCAGTCAATCAAGAAAAATCAATAGAATGCATGTGAATATAAAACTATTAACTTTCTCTTCAGAAAACAGCATCCACAAAGTTGAGGCAGGAGGCTGGCCAGTTCAGGGTCAGCGTGGGATGCACAGCAGTACTCTTGTCTGAAGCAAACACAAAAACAAAAACAAAGAAAGGAAGTCCAGCCTGGCTGAGTTTCTCTAACGTAGTGAAGTCGGAGTTAACCTGTAGGGCTAGTCCTGTGGCTGAGGAGCTGCTAAAGCCTGCTCCTCCATCAGGAGGGCAGCTGCCTACCTCAGGTCTGAGGGCTGCAGGGTCTGCAGGCGGGTCTTGAGGAGATCCAGAGGCTGGAAGAGGAGGGTGGAGCAGGTCCCACTGATGGAGCCACAGAGGAACGCCTTGATCACCGGGTGTAACTGCAAGGCAAGAGGCCGGGCGTCAGCAGGCCCAGTCAGCGGGCCAACCCACCACGCCAGCGCCTGTCCCCACACCCGCACCTGCCCCTCTTTCCCGAAGACCTAGAGGCACTCCCTGCCACAACCCCGTTCTAGCCTACTACTTCTAGCTTCCTGATTTGCTGGGCTGTGACCACTTGCCTCGTGCCCCCCACAAGGCTGCTGGAGGCTATTCCAATTGCCACACCCTTCCCACCAGGATGGGAAGGTAAAATCTGCAGCCAATACTAAAATGTGCACAGCAAAAGGTTCTCTCTGGTCTCCCTATGTGCTGTTACAATGTTGGGTCCACGAGGCAACACGTTCATATTCATGGCACATTTCCCTATCTGTCCTGCCTGAAGACTGACTGATCATGTCCTTATCCTGAGTGTAGTTTCGGCTCCTGGCTCCCCCAGGCTACCTGGTTGTGGGTCTTCAGATATTTATAAGAACAAGTCTAAACCCATGATAGCATAAGCTTGGCCACTATGTATAGCTCCCAGTACTCCATTAATTGCTGTGCTTAAAGCTCTGTCTTTCTAGCTAGGTGGTGGTGGCACACACCTTTGATCCCTCCCGGCACCTGGGAGGAGGGGCATATGGATCTCTGAGTTTGAGGCCAGCCTTGCCTACAGAGTGAGTTCCAGGACAGCCAGGGCTACACAGAGAAACACTGGCTTGGAAAAAAATTCAGCAAAAACAAAAACAAACAAACAAAAACCCCTCTGTCTTTCTTCTAGCCACCATCATACTGGGACCAAGCCGACCTCACGCTGGCCAGAGCAGTCACTTCTAACATGCGGCCCCTCCCCGCCCCTCCCCCAGCCCTGCTCTGTCACAGGCTGGCTTATCTTCTGGCTCCTTACAGAAGGGCAGCACTATTCCAGATACTGAAGTATCTCCCCCAGGCACACCCCAGGAGCGCCAGCTCACGAGACTGGGCTGCCATGGCAGTGTTCCCTTCCTGGAACGCAGCAGAATCGCCAATGACAATGGACAGACCCTTCAAACTCCCTCTCCTCCAAGCAAGACACTTGGCAGAGCCCATCTGGAGACCCCCCCCGTCCTCTGTACCTCCACCCCCTAGGTCACACAAGATTAAGCTCATTCTGGGTGGGTTTAACAAATAATAAATAATACATCACCACAGGAACCCACATGTCGGTTATCTTAAGTACCCACTTCAGAGCGGAGAGAGTCCACCCTAACTTCCACCAAATACACCTGGAGCTGGTTTCAAGACCACTGGGACTAGGTAAGTTCTGAGGGTTGAATACTGGACGGGGACAACAGCCCCGGGGTGCCAGCAGGGCTCTCAGGAGACAGCAGGCAAAACCAGGCAGTGTGTGTACGTGAGCACATCTCAACGGGCAGCCAATGCGCTCTCCCCAGCGATGCCAACTACGCCGCTGACCAACACCCCCGAAGGCTGCTCCCAGCCTCACCTGAGCCTCTGCAGTGGTGGGGGGTTCAGCCTCCTCACACACCAGGTCCCTCTCTTCCTTGGACATCTCTTCTCTGCCCGGAAGCCTCTCCGGCGCGACACCATGCCATCTCCCTTCCCGCCTCAGGCTTGACATCTAGTCAGAACTCCCCCGGTAAGGCTCCTCGCACCCCAGGGCCCCTCTTCTGCCCCGGGCCTTAATTTACTTTTACTCTTAAGTGCACTTGATATCAGTGACCGCCTCTCTCTCAGTACTGGTCTCTTCCACCGCCACCCCGCCTCGCCCCTCCCCGTCAGCAGGTCTCTCTCCCCTCCGCCCGCTCCTCAGTGGTACCGCGCCTCCTGGCTCCTCGGTCTGCAGCCCTTTCTCAGCAGCCTCACCCACAGCCCATCTCCCCACTTCCAGCCCTCTGTCTGTCTGTCCGTCTGTCTGTCTGTCTCTCCCTCTCTCCCTCTCTCCCTCTCTCCCTCTCTCCCTCCCTCCCTCCCTCCCTCCCTCCCTCTCTCTCTCTCTCTCTCTCTCTCTCTCTCTCTCTCTCTCTCTCTCTCTCTCTCCCTCTCCCTCTCTCTCTGCCCACCCCGTATCCCCTTCTGCCCCCGGGGGTCCCACACGCAACAGTTCAAACCGGAAACTGGGCCCGCGGCCCCCACACGTGCCTCCCCCCAGTCCCAGGACACTTGCTCTGCCCGCTGCTTCCTGACCAGGCCCTGATGGCTGACGCTGCAGTCTGCCCCATGGATCCCTCCAACCTAAGCCGCGGGACTCTGCAGAATGAGTCCACTGGGGGACAAGCAGGGGGCTGCAAACGCCGGGAGGAATCGCGTCCGCGTCCTTGAGCCCGCTCTCCCTCCAGCCCCAGCAGAGAACTCCGTCCCTCATCTCCGCTTCCCTCCCACTGCCCGGCTTCACCGAGGCAGGCTCCCACAGCCCTCAGCCAGCTTCGGTCCCTTCTGTTTCCATCCTCTCGGCCACGCACACTGCTCTCTGGACAAAGTCACACCGCCACCTCAGATGACAGTCCGTAACCCCGAGCTAGCTCTCCCCTTTCCTCCAACCTGCTGCTCCTCGGCAGGCAGCATCCAAGCGAACACCCGGTGCTTATCCACCCTGGTCTGGGCCTCTCCACACCCGCTCATTCTTGTCTTCACAGAGCAGTGAATGAACACCATCACTGGCCCAATAAATAAATACTGAACCAACACAAAGAGTCAACAGCTTATTCTAATTACGTTTGGTTTTTTGTTTCTGTTTTTCAAGACAGGGCTTCTCTATGTAGCCCTGGATGCCCTGAACTCAATCTGTAGACCAGGCTGGCCTTGAACTCGGAGATCTGCCTGCGTCTGCCTCCTAGGATTGAAGGTGTGTGCCGCCACCACCAGGCCACAATGTCAATTCTAACAGATAAATCCAAGGGGGCAGGCAGGTAACTTGACAGCACCGTGACTTCTGTGTGTGCACAGCATCTGAGTGGGTTATTTTTTTGTGCATCTACGGCTGTGCCTGTTTTGAGACAGGGTCTCACTAGCACACAGATCTGCCTGCCTCCGCAGGAGCCCCTGCGCCAGGTCCTGGGTTTAGTTTTATTTGTTAGAGAGGTGGACACTGAGAAGTCATGCCACAGGGCTACCCCTCCAATTTCAAGACAGATCTAATTTATTTCAGTAGCTCAACCTTACTAAAGAGCGGTGAACATTCCAGTTTTCCAGGCGTGAGAACAGACAAAAACAATCAAAGGGGCCGGAGAACAGTCAAAAGTGAGTAGCGGTCTTGCAGGGGACCAGGGGGTTCCCAGCACCCATACGGGAAGGGGAGCTCACAGCCACCTGTAACTCCAGCTCCAGGGGATCCCAGCACCCTGCGGGTCTCCATGGCACCTGCACACACACACACACACACACACACACACACACACATACACACACACACACACACACAACCAGCAAAATCCCTATACACAACAGAAGGGGAAAGACGGCAGTCCAGTGAGAAAAGGTATGTAGTTTAGAAAGACGTGATCCTGGAGCCGCCACGGCCTTCTTTAAAGCTTTCCAAAAAGCCACCACTCACAGGGGAGCACACGCCTTTCGTATCGGCACTCTGCGAGTTCGAGGCCAGCCTGGTCTAAACAGCGAGTTTCCAGCCGGGGTTGCACAGCGAGACTCAAAATCAGATTAAAAGAAAAAAAATTCTAGAAGCCATCCCGAAAGGAGTGCATCCTCCTCCCTCCTCCCGCTAAGGAGCATCGCCGCCCGGCCTCCCGACGCACCCCCGCCGCTGCCTATGGCTGGCGAGGACCCGCCCAGGCCGCAGGAGACACCGCCCCGCCCCGCCCCCGTCTCCGCCAATGGCAGCCCGGCGCCCGGCCGCGCAGCCAATCTGGCGGAGGGGGCGTGGCCTTCGCGGGCCGTGGGCGCTGAGGCCGCAGCCGCACGGAAGCCGGCGGGGTAGACGGCCTGCAGCGAGCGGCCGGAGCGAGGCCGGGCTGACAGCGGCGCGCTCGTATCCACCACCGCGAGCGTTCTAGAGCTGGAATGTTCCAGACGCACAAGGAGACCCGGTCCCCCGCCCCCACGAGCTCACCATGAGCGTCTCCACCGTGTCGTCTCCGTCCTGCGGCGGCAGCAGCGCAGAGCGCGCCTTCTCGATCACGGGGGACGCGAGCCCGGCCCCGGCGACCGCGAGGCTCCGCGGCTCCGCGCTCACGCCCATGGCCGCCCGCCGGCCTCAGTACCCGAGGCTAGCGGGTCTGTGTTTCCGGGGGAGGAGAAAGTACAGGGAACCACTCGGGAAGGTGAGAGTCCACTTCCGCTTCCGAGACGCGGCTCATCCGGCGCCGAGTAGTGTTCCTATTGCCACCTGGTGGCTACACGCAGAACTGCCGGGTCCCCGGTTGCCTCCTGCTTGGGGCTTTTTTGCTTTTGGTGGCTAAAGCGCTTTTTGGAAATGTGTGACTGGCTGAATTTTAATTGTATTCAATTTTAATTAAATTATATTTAAGAACTGAAACAGGTTGGGATGTTTCTTTTTTTTTAATAAGATTTATTGTGTATACAGCTTTCTGTCTGCATGTGTGCCTGCAGGCCAGAAGAGGGCACCAGATCTCATTACAGATGGCTGTGAGCCACCATGTGGTTGCTGGGAATTGAACTCAGGACCTCTGGAAGAGCAGCCAGTGCTCTTAACCTCTGAGCCATCTCTCCAGCCCCCACAATTTCTTAAAAACAGAAATCACAAGTTCGAGGCCAACCTGGTCAACAGAGTGAGTTCCAGGACAGCCTCCAAAACAATACAGAGAAACCATGTCTCGAAAAGCAAAAAAGAAAAGAAAAAAGATAGAATTCACATTTATCCACTTATTTATCTATTTTTTGTTTTTGTTTTTTGAGACAGGGTTTCTCTTGTGTAGCCCTGGCTGTCCTGGAACTCGCTCTTGTAGACCAGGCTGGCCTTGAACTCTCAGAGATCCGCCTGCCTCTGCCTTCCAAGTGCTGGGATTAAAGGCATGCTCCACCACAGCTCAGCTTTTTAAATTAATTTTTGTAGATCTTATTATCTGTGGGTACAAGTGAGTGTGGTGCTGACAGAGGCCAGAATAAGGCCATCAGATTCCCCCAGCACTGGAGTTACGGACAGTTGTGAACCAACCGCAGGTCCAGTACCACATCCCTCCCCCCTCCCCCTCCTCCTTTTCTTTTTTAATTTTTTTAAATTTTTTTTTTTTGGATTTTCGAGACACAGTTTCTCTGTGTAACAGCCTTAACTGCTCAGGAACTCAGTCCATAGACCAGGATGGCCTTGAACTCACAGAGATCGGCCCACCTCTGCCTCCCGAGTGCTGGGATTAAAGGCATGTGCCACCACCTACTGGCCTCTTTTTTGTTTCTTTTTTTTTTTTTTTTTTTTGGTTTTTCGAGACAGGGTTTCTCTGTGGCTTTGGAGGCTGTCCTGGAACTAGCTCTTATAGACCAGGCTGGTCTCGAACTCACAAAGATCCGCCTGCCTCTGCCTCCCGAGTGCTGGGATTAAAGGCGTGCGCCACCAACACCCGGCTCTCTTTTTTGTTTCTTAAGAATTTCATAAATGCATATAACATGTCTGATCAAATCCAAGCCCCATTCCCTCCCCTCTGGCTCCTTCTTTATCACCCTCCACATCTCTGTCTGAACGCTGGTATCTGAAGTGGGAAATGACACTCCCTGTACGTCTGTCACTTACCTGATACCTAAGATTTATAGGATAAAATATGTCAGTGCTTTTTCACTCAGTTTTGGTGTTAGAGACAGAACCCGAGGCCTCGGGCTTGCAGCAAGCACTTCACCGCGGAACGGCACTGAGTTCCATTCGTTCATGCACGTACGCACGTGTGCATGCATTAATTCATCCATTCATCTGAGGCAGGATGTTACTATGCACCCCTAGATGGCCTGGAACTCACTACGCTTATGAGGCTAGCCTCAAACTCACTGAAATCCACTTGCCTATGTCTCCTTAGTACTGGAATTAAAGACCATCACCACCATGTCTGACTCGATAGCCATTTTTTTGTAGTACATGTTGAAATGTTACTTTAGCTATATGGGGATCAATAAGTTTTATTACTGAAGTTACTTTCACCTGCTTCTGCTTTTTAAGTTTATTATTTTATGTGTGTAAGTACTTTACCTGCATGTGTTACAGCTCTGGAGGGAAAGTCAGACTATACCTGAAGCTAGGGTCCAGTGGGGATGGTCTCCCCACAGGATGTGACAATCCTGCTCCTCTCAGATATCACAGCTGAGCTCTTTCCTGCTCCCAAGGGAGTGTCCCAGCAGAGGTTTCCGTTTCCTCTCAGCTCCTGCCCAAGGTGTCGCTTCCCTGCTTCCCTCTGCTTCCGGCTGCAGAAATGTAGCAGTCTGCCCTGGCTCCCCTGGAAAGTTGTTACTTCTACTCCACTGCCCTAAGCGAGCTTCCCAGCAGAGATTCTGCTTCACACCAGAGAGAGGTCCCAAAACTCTTTCAAGAAAGACATTTATTTGGGAAGGAGGAGTCCAGGAGAGTAGCTGCTTCTGCCAGGGTGAGAAAGGACAGCCCACAGCTGTACAGACAGAGGGGCTTATGTAGGGCTCCTTAGGGGCAGAGTTTTTCCAGGGAGAAGATTTTCAGGGGCAGAATTGGTCGGATTCTGATCCTCCCATGTAGTGACTGCAGTCAACACTCCTCACGGATTCGGGTGAGGGCCCGAGGATTGAAATGAAGACAAGAGATAGCGGGTCATCCTTGCAAGGAGAATGCCGTTTATTGCAACAAGAGGGGAGCATTAAATACCAGTGAGCAGGAACGGTGGAAAACTACCAAGGTCAGAAGTTCACGTTCCCAGGCCCATCAGGCAATAAGGATGGGTGGACAACAGGAACTTGCATTCAGGCCTTATTGGAAGGAGGGGGAACAAGAGGTCTTTGCTAGGTAAGCTCCTAGTCACAAGCTGGTCAGCAGATCCCTGTGGGGGAAGGGCCCAACACCCTTGAGCTTGGACAAGCTCAGATTGGCTAGATTTCATGCTGGGGGATTGGTTGGTTTCATGTTCAATTGGTCAGGGGCAGAGTTGGCTCTGGTTTCAGGGCCAAAGTGGGTTTCTTTCGCTGGTCCTGGTTTCAGGGTCGAGGTGGGTTTCTTTGGCTGGCCTTTTTACCCTACATGCAGTGCCTGTAGAAGCCAGAAGACATGGGATCTCCTGGCACTGGAGTTATAGATGGCTGTGAGCCATATGGGTGCTGGAGAGCCAACCTTAGTCTTCTGTAGGAGCAACAAGTGCACTAACCATTGAGCCATCCCTCAAGCCTCCCATTATGCCTTTTCAAACATGACTGCTAGACCATTAAAAATACCACATCGGTTTGCACTGTATTTCAGTTGGAATTACCAGCCCAGATATCTAAAACTGTATGGTCTATGACTCACCTGCACATTTTTGGCTTCCAACTTCCCGTGTGTCTATGTGGCTGACCTGTAGAAGAGGCCTTGACACCCTTGTTGAAAACACACACACATAACATCAGTGCCTGTCCACCCAGAGAGTAAAATCCGAACTTATAAATACTCGATGTCAGAACCCAGCTGCTGCTCAGGCCCAGCCCCTGCAGCAGCCCTTTCCCCTCACGGGTAACAAGACCCTGGCTGTGAGTCTCTAACTAACAGACTTTGAGGTGTCAGAGTATCTCATCTGGGGAAGTGAGTTTACATCAAAGGTATATTGGCCACACACCCAGCTCCCAACCCCCTTCCCAGCA